GCCACCTTGGGTGTACGTGGCTGGTGCCTTAGCCACTTGAGCCACAGGTGCTGAGCCCCAACCCTGCGTTTGACCTACTTACTGGACATTGGTAAGTCCTTGATATTACAAATTCTGCTCTTATAATCAGTGGGTCAATTTACATCAGTGTCCGCTTATTGAAAATCCTTAAAACTAGCTTCTCTCAGTTTACCAAGCCCCTTCCCCAGTGAGGAGCTCCTGGGTAGAATTTGGCACAAATGACTCAGGCTGTGCCTTCATCCCTGGGACTGGGGCCACTAGTGGGACCAAGTTTCCCCAATACCAGGTGTGAACTGCCTCCAAGGTCAGGAAAGATCATGGAATCTACAAGCTGGAGAGACTGGCAGACCCTGGGGGTGGGCTCACACCAGGCTAGAGAACTTGAGGAAAAGCAGGGAGATGGGGAGCCCGGAAACACATCTGGGGAATATCAAGAATCTAGTTTGATGGCTCGGGGCCTGTGGCTCAAGAGGCTAAGGCGCCAGCCACATATACCAGAGCTGACACGTTCCAGTGCAGTCCGGGCCCGCCAAACAACAATGACAACGACAACCAAAAAAATAGCCACGGCGGGCGCCTGTAGTCCCAGCTACTTGGGAGGCTGAGAGAATCGCTTAAGCCCAGAAGTTGGAGGTTGCTGTGAGCTGTGAGGTCATAGCACTCGACCTAGGTCGACAACTTGAGGCTCTGTCTCAGAGAAAAAAAAAAAAAGAAAGAATCTAGTTTGAGGGAGCATGGGATAAAGTTGGGGAGTTGAGGAGAAGGGCTGGGCCAGACTCCAGGGGAATTTGGGCGGCCCTGTAGGCACTGAGGGACCAGTGGACAAGTCGGGGGCATGCGGTGGGAGTGCTCAATTCCAACCCGGGCACGGCTCGGAGGGCACGTCCCGGGGAAAGGGGCTCCCTCTCCGTAGCACCAGACGCCGCTGGGAGCCTGGTGCCACCGGGGAGGCGAAGTGGGCACACGACCCGCCTGAGGTGTCTTTGGAGGCCGGGCCAAGTCAGGGGCGTACTGTCCCCTGGTGGCGCCGGCCGGAACGTCCCTCATGGCTCCACAGTGGTCACCGTGGTGCCCACAGCGCGTCAGCCGGTGAAGAGCAACTAGGAGCCGGTGGGAGGCGCCGACTTCCCCAGGCGTCCGGAAAGCGGACAGCTCGGAGCTGAGGTCCAGCTGGTGAGCCGAGGGCAGTCACCGAGCGCCTCTCGCGGGGAGAGTTCTCCGGGCGGCCGGCAGGGTGGCCCCAGGAGCCTGTGCCTGCAGCTGTCCTTTCCTTATAAGGCGGGGGCCGGGCGGCTCCGGGGGAGGGGCTGCGGCCGCCCGGCCCCCTCCAGGGCTCGGCGAGTGGCGCGGGGCGGCGAGGAGCGCAGCGCAGCCGCGGGGAACCGAGCAGCGCGTGGAGCCGGCCATGGGCAAGTCAGGTGAGCCGGCCGGGGGCGGCGCCCGGGCGCGGGGTGGCTCCGGAGCCCCGGGCCCCCGGCCAGTCGCCATCACCCTCTCTCGCCGCGGGCTGGGTCCCCGGGGAGCGGGGCGGCCGCCTAGACGCGCGGGACGGGGCTCGGGCTGCGATGCGGCACCCCTGGGTGCGGGATGGAGGGGCGCGCTCGCGAGATGCCCTGAGGCGCAGCGCGGGCAGTCTCCGGGGCAGCTGGGAAGACTCGGCGGCGGTCAGGCCACCAGGAGAGAGGGAGGGAAGGAGAGACCGAGGGAGGGTCCCCCTGTCTGCCAGCCAGAGATTGCGTCAGGGAGGGCTTCCAGGCGCTGATGGGATCAGCGCTCCGCGTTCCGCCAAGGCGTGGCTTTTGCTTTGTTTCGAAAGGACCGAGTTAAGAGTTGGAAAAAGCCACCAAACTGTGACAGCATCTCTTGCTCCAAAGCTGCTTGCCCCATTCAACCCTCCTGAGGACAGCTCTGAGTAGCCTCTCCATTCTTTCGTTGTCTCTCCTCTCTCGAGCACCCTATCTGTGCAAGGCTCCCCGAGTGGGAGGCTCGGTCTGGCTCCCCCTTTCTCTGTGACCTGTTGCTGCTGTCGGATGAACTTTCCAAGATGCAGATCTCCTTTCACTCCTTAACACCTTCTACCCCATGGCTTGCAGTCTTCCTTCCCGGGAATTGGTCACCACCTCTTGCTTGCACCTTACAGTCCAGCCATCCTGAGGCTGGACACTGGCCCCCTTCCCCTGGGTTTCCTTACCCGGCACTCACCACACCCACTCCCCCTCCAGAAAATCCTCCCCATCCTTCTAGACTCAACTCCTGGACTGGGAGCCCATCCCTGATTCCGCTACAGAGGGACCTCCCCACCTAATGTGTTCTTTGTTGCAGTCCTTCCTGCAGTGAACTTGGAACAAGCATGCAGCCATATACGTTTTTCCCACTGACTCCCCACTCCCCGCAGTCAGGGCCATTTTTATCTCAGCTTACTTCCTGCCCCACTAGAGGCTCTTAATGAACAGCTGTTGAACAGAGTTCAGAAATCCTGCTTTATTAGGATTGTCAGCCTCAGATGAGTAAGGCTAGGTCTCTTCTTGGATCCGTCCTCCAAGATCCAGACTCAGGAGACGCCAGCATTAGGAACAAGTGGGTTTCCCTGGCATTGGTCCTAACCAGCCTTACCTTGGGGCTCTAGGGGCAGGTCTGGGTTTCAGCCCTGGCCTTGCCACTGACTAGCTGTGTGATACCAAGCAAGGCCCCTTTCCTCTCTTGTTCCTCAGTTTCCCCATCTGTACTGAGAATAGCCCATGTGATCCTCCAGGTTCTTCATGGTATAATGGAGACCATGATATAATGGGTTGTCATATAATTAAAAAAGCAGGATGATGGATGGAGATGGGGCAAAAGTATAGCAGATGCAAGAGAGCATTTTAAGATATCCACTTGAGGCTC